GGTGGTCTGGCGTGATGGGGGCACTCAGAGGAGCAGACATCTGACTCACAGTGGTGTGGCCTCTGGAGTGGGCGCCTCACTAAGATTTCATCATCTGTGTCTCCTCAAGCCCGCATCCTTCCATGTCCATTCCCCTGGCCATTCTTGACTAGGCTCTTCCCTACCCCCAGGAAGGATGTCTGGAAAAGCAGCCCAAAACCCTTTGTACTTTAATTGGAAAAAGGTGGGAGCCTGAGGCAAGCGTGATTGAAACAGCACCCAGAAGGGCAGTGTTCAGGGCAGAGCTGTGGCCAGTGTTTCAATCCCGACTTCACTCTGTGCTGGTGGCTGCAGTGCGCCCATCATAGCCACACCATTTGTGCACGGTAGCTTTTTTGCTCTAAGTGGAGACAGGGGCTTCGTCTCCATTGATAAGACTTTCCTCATCTGCTGGCGATTCTATTTTAGGAGAAAGCCTCCCCCTGTAGTAGGCACTCCTGCCTCAAAGTGGAGCCAGGCCTTTTTTTTTCCGTGCTCGTATTATGCTAATCACTCCTTGCAAGCAGGCAGACTTTGTAGGAGGTTTGCCTGGTTTTAGATGAAACATACGCCTTTGAAGCAAAGAGCCACCGTCGCTAAAAATACCATTTCCCGGCTGTTGATCCTGTCATTTGTAAAATGCCTGTTTCCATTGTTAAACCTGCATCAGCCCCTCTGGAGAGGAAAGCTCCACTATCACGGCCAGGCCGGAGCAGCACACCCTGGGGAAGTAGCACCTTCCCCAGCCCTGCCCTCAGGCTCCGCCTCGGAGCCTCCCTGAGAGGGAGTCCAAGAGAAGCACACAGAGGATTCTGAATACTGTATTTTCTGTTCAGAAATATTGAACCATATAAAATAAAACCTGAAATAATGCAGAATGGTATAGTGGGAAATGGGAAAGACCCCCTGACTGCCCACCGCCACCTCCCGGAGAAGTAGCCTCTGGGGTCAGCTTGGCATGTTTCCTTCTGCTGCCCTTTCTGTGCATTTATCAGCATGAGGCTCAGTCTGGTGCTGGTTTGGCTGCAGTGGGTTCTGGACTCAGAGAGCTCTGCAGCTTGCCCAGGTCCACCCGCTTCACGGTCTTTGCACAGAACACATCTCCCTCTGGATCCTGTACACTCCCAGTCAGAGCCCAGTGGGTCAGGGTCACTGACCCTCGCCACAGAGGCTACCATATCCCGGTGTTAAATCTGTCCACCCAGCAGAGCACAGTGGCTCACACCTGTAATCCCAGCACTGTGGGAGGCGAAGGCGGCTGGATCACGAGGCCAGTAGTTCGAGACCAGCCTGGTTAACATGGTGAAACCTTGTCTCTACTAAAGATACAAAAAATTAGCTGGGCATGGTGGTGGATGTCTGTAATCCCAGCTACTCAGGAGGCTGAGACAGGAGAATTGCTTGAACTAGGGAGGTGAAGGTTGCAGTGAGCCAAGATCACGACATTGTACTCCAGCCTGGGAGACGAGGAGACTCCATCTCAAAAAAAAAAAAAAAAAATCTGTCCACTTGCCTTTCTCTGTATGTGGTTACCTGGTGGCGTGATCCTGGCAGGGAATGGAGGGAGCAGGCCTCTCACCCACCAGCACAAGTTCTGCTGTAGGGAGCTGGCCTGTCACCCAGAGCTGGGACTAAGACATGTCTCCTGGGGTGACTTCCAAGGATGCCTCATGTCTGGAGTCCTCTTATTTCTCACGCATTTAATCCTGGAGATTTCCTGGGCTGGCAGGGAACATGTGGATGAAAAGCCTATTTCATGCGTCTTAAAATTCCCTGAAAATGGCTGATCACAAAAGGAATTTTTTCAGCCTCCTGGCAGGGGGTGGGGGAGGTACAAATAGGAGAACCCCTCCCCTTCCATTTGGCAGAGAATGGCTGGAGGAGTCTCCTTCCCACCACGCTTGGGCCCACCACTGCGGCCTTGGCCCCTCCGTCCTCCCAGCCCTTTGAGACTGATCTTTTTACCAGCATCTCGGAGGCTGCAGTGAGGGTGCTGATATTTGCTCTTTGTCGCCAGCGGTGGGTATGCGTGTTTAACTTCTCATCCAGTTTTCTGACACTTATCTCAGTGCTCTTAGTGCCCTTTAAGTGGGCACTTACAAAGCCTACAGAAAGCCCTCTCAGTGCATAAAATTTCACAAAACCCCCAGACTGAAGATGTGAAGACAAGAAGGGCGCTCATGGCTCTAGCTCCTGATCGGAGCCAGGAAGGCAGGAAGCGCGTGGGCCCAGGGCAGCAGCTGCGAGCTGTGCTTCCTCTCAGGGTGCTGGGGCTACACAGGTGGGCCCAGCCACATGGTTGCCAGGAGGCCAGGAAGAGTCCAAGCACGGGTCTTGCCCCAGAGCTGACCTCTTTGTCTTTCTGTTTGAACAGAGAAGGTCAGGGCTGTGCACAGCAGGCTTGGAACCACGAAGGTAGAGACCAGCAGGGAAACAGTGACATACCAAGTAGAAACTTAAACCAGGACCCAGGCTTTGTGCAGGTGGGGCTGAGGCCTCAAGAAGGCAAGCATTAGGGCCTCCCACCCAGAGCTCCAAGGCCGAGCCAGGCTGCACTGCCACCCATCCTCTGAGACTGCTGCCAAAATCTCCCCTTCCCTCAGGAGGGCGTCACCGTGCCTGAAGCCACTGGCCCTGGTGAGGCAGTTGCAGGCAGCAGGTTTCTGGCCACCCAGGAAGCTTGTTGAGAGTATAGATCCTGGACCTCCTGGAGGTGAGGGCTCCTGTGGTCCAGGCATACAGCCAGGTTCTGGGGCCCCTCAGGATATTCCTGGCTTGAGGGACCCTCCCTGTTCTGGAGGGTAAATGTGCAGCCTTCTGGGTAGATGAGGACACTGATGGGACAGGGGCTGGTGGCTCCCCGCCAAGGGGTGTGGAGCTGGCACCATGCGCATGGTGCCTAAGGCAGAGCACTGGAGGTGCCACCAGAAAGCAAAATGGCAGCCCCTGGCTGGAACTCCTTCAGAGTGCAGGGGGTCCTCTGAAGGAAAGTCGCCACGGGAACACAAGATACTAGTAATTCGCTGTAATCACCCATGGCCCATGACCAGGAGGACAGCCTGTTTGGTTAAACACTTTGGGGGAGGGAAGCATTCTCCACACGGGGCTGTGGCCACACAGACACTAGGGCTGCTGGACCCACGTCGGGCACGTGGCTTTAAGGCCAGAGGGTCCGAGTATGGGCCCTGCCGAGGCCTCAGTGTCTGGGTCCACCACCGAGGAGGCAGAAGGGGGTGCTCACCGTCTGTAAACTTCGGGAATATGCCACAGCAAGGTGCTCCTTGGCCTGGAACAAAGGGACTAGTTTGGGAATTATCGCCTGAAGTAAAGGAAAATGAACAGCTTGGTGATGAGAAGACGGGCAAGGGACGTCCCCAGACATTGTTGGGGCCGGAGTAGCTCTGGCGGCCTCACTTGGGCCCCAGCACCGCTGTTGCTCACCTGCCTCGTTCCTCACACAGCCCCCCACAGTTTGCAGGGGAAAATGGCCGAGGTGCGGGGTGCTTTTCCATTACCTGTCCCAATACAGACTCCAGATCTCAGAGGACCCTGCTTGAGATCATGTGCCATGGGGTGAAGGCATGTCTCTTCCCTGGGCATACAAGCTGCAGAGAATGGGTGGGAAGGGGAGCCAGGCCAGGGAAGGGAGTTCTGTGTCCCTGGCAGATGCCACAGAGCGTGGGAACATGTTCGTGGGAATGTGAATGCCAGGTCAGGGACCCAAGTTCTGGCCCCTCTGTGGCCCTGGCTGTGTGGCCTGGGACCAGTTTTTTGGCTTCAGTTTCTTCCTGTCCCATGCGGGTGGCAGGGGCATGGAAGGGCAGGCAGGGCCAGGAAGCAGCATGCCAGGCGGTGGCAGCCTCTTCATGGGCAGGGCTGGCCTCCACAGGGGCAGCTGAGAACATCCCCAGGAGGAAGTCCTGCTTAGAGGGGTGGAGCCCAGAGGACTTGAAAGGGAGAGAAAGGTCACATCTGCAGTTCTCCCAGCAGAGCCCAGGAGGCCCCAGGGCAGTTAGGGTTCAGGGATGCCATTCCCTGGCAGCGCAAGTGAGTTCAGAGCACAAGCCCTGGCACGTCTCCCTGGGCACCAGGAGTCTTTATATTAAAATCACCCCAGCCTGGACCTCAGGCAGCAGCTGGCCTGGCTCCCACACTCAGGTCTGCTGCTCCTAACTGGTTTCTGGGAACTGGTATTGCAGTCAGCCCCATGGACTTTCTCCCCCAGGTCTGAGTTTGGGTTCAGGCTGCAGTTGCAAGGCCCTGCTTCCCTCCCGTACCCTTGGAGACAAACCATTTCCCCCAGAGGGCAGAACTAAGGATGGACCACAGGCCAACACCATCCTAGCCAGGTGTGGTCAGTGCCATCCACCCACAGAGGGGGCTTCAAGGAGAGAGTGGGGTGGAAGGAGCTGGCTGCAGATACACTGCCCCGGAGCCAGAGGAAGCTTCTGGAGAAACTCTCTCCAGTCCACCAGAAGGCCCGGTGATCTCTGCAGCTCAGGTGGTTCAGACTGTCTTCCCAGAAAAGGATGTCTAAGGCTCTGTGCCGTCTGGGCCCTGGAGCTTGTTGGGGGACAAGGGGGCGTGTGGGCAGCAATGTGTACTTGGGTGCTGGGGTCAGGCTGACCTGCCGGGACTTTGGCAAGGCCTCTGAAATCACCCATGGCCCATGTTGGGGAGTTGAATATACACGATGTTCCTAATGTACTGTTATTTGTGGCCAGGATTAGGAAGGAAATGGTGATTCCAGCTTAGAGTACATCCCTGTGGCAGAAGGCAGGAGTCTAGCAGGGACCAAGGGCTTGGGCCCTTCTCAGCGCTTCTTGGAGTTGTCAGGGAGACAAGAGGATTTCCTTTAGTGACCAGTCCCTTTGTTGTTGTTTGCACTGAGGATTCAACATGCAGAAGGTCCCTGCTTCTGTGCCAAGGCCCCAGGCAGGCCCAGACCGGCCGCACCCCTGCCCCTGCTCCCGCACCCCGTCGTCTACTCACCCCGGCCTTGTCCTCCTCACACTGCCTTTTGCTCCAGCACGGAGACGCTATCTCAGCAGAGTCCCCGTCAGTCCTCTCTGCCATCTCAGCTTCAGAGCCTCCAGCACAGGGTGACGAGCCCCGCCATCTGACCTGCATCCAGCCATATTCTGGGGTGTCTCTATGTGGGATAGAAGGCGCAGCCTCTTTTCTGGGACACAAACCCAGACCGCACTGGGAGTCATACGCCTACTGATTCCCCTCACAGGGGCTCCTTGCAGATTGTGAAATGCTTCTGCCAGAGCCAGACACCCCCCAAGAACCCTGATAACCCAGTCCAACACTTGCCAGTCTCCCAGGCCCATCGGCCTGCGGTTCCGCCTGCATGCCCAGCCCCATGGCCAAAGTAACCCAGGCCACCTTGTCCCTTCCTGGCCATTAATTTTCTGTCCTACAAGCATTCATCTCCCCCATTGCCTGTAGGGTCCCAGCCCTAGGCCTTGTGGTCTAAGTGGAAAAGGCACCAAGGTTCAGGGGCCAAGCACCTCTTTAGGAAGGAAATTGGTGGGAACTAGCAGCAGCTGAGGCAGGAGACAGGGGAGGGCTGTCCTGGGAAAGGGCAGGGGGCTTTGAGTACCTGTGAATGAACACAGGCCAAGGTGGGTGCGGTGGCTCACCCCTTTAATCCCAGCACTGTTTTGGGAGGCCAAAGTGGCGGATCACCTGAGGTCGGGAGTTCAAGACCAGCCTGGCCAACATGGTGAAATCCTGTCTTCACTAAAAATACAAAAATTAGCCGGGTGTGTTGGTGTGTGCTGGTAATCCCAGCTACTCAGAAGGCTGAGGCAGAAGAATCACTTGAACCAGGGAGGCGGAAGTTGCAGTGAGCCAATCAAATTGCAGTGGACAACAGAGCAAGGCTCTGTCTGAAAAAGAAAAAAGGCCAAGCCAGCCCGATGGGCCCAGGCAGATGATGACGTCCACCCTGAGGAGAAGGCAGAGCCCCTCCCATGGCAGCAAGGGCCACCTGACTCCACCCTGGGCAGTGCAGAAAGCGGGAGTCATCTCTCCTGCTCTGCCCCGCTCTCAACTCCATCCCTAGAGCAAGCCCCAAACCTAGGGTGAGGGACCTGCTCATCCTGGGGGACTGGGACCCCCACTGCCTCCAGGAGACTATTTGGTTTTCTGTGGCAGCTTCCATCCAGATGAGACCTTCTCTGGAGGTCTCTAGATGAGCCCAGCCCTTTTGTCTGGAACCCCCCAAAGCCCGATGGCAGCTCCTCTTGCACAGAGAGACAGATATGGCTAAGAGGACTGAAGGCCTCTTCCTGTGCCCCTCCACCCTCCATCCCCTTTTCACCAGCTCCTAGCAAAACCCAGAAAAACAAGTCCTGCATCCTCCTCCTCCTCCCACCTCCACTCTCCGAAAGAAACTTTAAAGTGTACCAGACGCATCAACTGCATTAAACACGATGAATTTTTAAGGCATGAGTTGGCAGGGTTACCATGGCTGCCTTTGCCCTGAGGGGCACACTGCCGAGGATTGATTGAAATAAATAAAACGGATTCACAATTTTCATACTTGGAAGCAGAGAGTTGGAAGGGAAGAGAGCAGAGGGGGAGGGGCAGGATGCAGTGAGATTCTGGAGCATTCTGGACTCTAAATGAGAGGCCACTCCCTCCTCTCCCCATCCTAACAGTATACTGACCCAAAAGCTGCTTCCACTTTAAATTCCTAAAGGATCCCAGCTGTGGGGCAGGAAAGGCAGGGAGGAGGCCCTTTTCCGGTGGGAGCGGCCCCAGGCCTTCTCTATAGTTTTTAGCCTTGATATTAGGTTGCACCTCAGATTTATTGGCCGTGAGACTCCAGCTGTCTCCTAGGAAAGCACTGGCCATTGGCCTTGGACCACTGAAGGGGAGGGATGTGGGCACCAACCAGCGTCCAGCATAGAAAAGAAACAAGGGGAGTCCGGGCAAGGTGGCTCACGCCTGTAATCCCAGCACTTTGGGAGGCTGAGGCACATGGATCACTTGAGGTCAGGAGTTCAGGACCAGCCTGGCCAAAATGTCTCTGCTAAAAATACAAAAATTAGCCTGCCATCGTGGCACATTCCTATAATCCCAGCTACCCAGGAGGCCGAGGCAAGAGAATCGCTTGAACCCGGGAGGCGGAGGTTACAGTGAACCAAGATTGCGCCATTGTGCTCCAGCCTGGGTGACAGAGTGAGACTCGTTCTCAAAAGAGAAAAGAAAAACAAGAGCTTGTCTTTCTGTGCTTGGTCAGTGAGCCACCAGCAGCAGCCAGGGATGGAAATGAAGGAAGGAGGCCTGGCTACAGGGAGAAGGGAGGGGCCTCTGAGCCAGGATGCCCTGCCCTCAGCAGGCACCCGAAGCCTGTTGCCCTCCTACCAGTTCGCCTAGCCCTAAGGCTGCTTGCAGAGAGACCAGTGGAGTTCACCTACCCCACACTCTCTTCAGAATCACCATCCAGCCCAGCCTATGAGGGACCTGGAGCCAGGACTGCCTGCTCAGTCACCCATATGAGAACCCCATCCCTGTCCAGAGCTGCCAACAGCCTGCCAGGGAGCGCATCGATCACTGACTCCGTGACCCACAACACTCCCTAACCAAAGAGCTGGGCTTGCAGCCAGGTCCCAGCTGGGCCAGTGGGGCTGGAGAACTGGACCCACTGGATTGGGAGAGGGGCGCCACCCGGGGGTCCTGGTGCCAGACTGGAGATGCAGAGGCATGAAGAACCCGGTGGCTAGTTGCAGGGCATGGTCGGGCAGCAGGAGGAGCCCTTCCTGTATCTGTATCCACTGAGGCCATTTGTGTGACCCAGCCTAACAGGAGGTACCAAGTAAAATCACCCACACTTTTGCCTCATGGGGCCACCAACAAGGCTCCATTTGGAAGGACGTCCCATCATGGCTCGCGAGAGTGGACAAGGTGGAGCGTAGTGAAAAACTGAGGAGCTGGGGTACACCTATCCCGCCTGGAATTTGCCAGCTAAGGCAAATTCAGAGGACTCTTCTGAGTCCTCTGTTCGTCATGGGGAGGGCAGCGTTGTGGGGCCAGTGAAGGCTGGAGTAGAGACAGCAGCTGAGAGCATGCTGATCAGGAGCGGGCGCCCCCATCCTCCACACTCATTTCTCAACCTTGCTGTCTCTTTTTAGGGTTTGGGTCCAGGGTATCTTCCCACTGGGCCAGCTGTTCTCCACACTGCTGGTGGCTTATTGTTTGGGACAGTCAGGAATGTCAGAGGCCCCTGGGAGGGGATGGTCACTTCGGTCTCCACTTCCCCGTAAACTTTCTTGAGTTCATCTGTTGCCCCGTCGACATCTCTGCCCATGAGTCCCAGGTTGGCTCACCAGAGGGGCAGGCTGCATCCACCGAGGGCTCTGGAGGCCAGTGCTGGCAGGCCAGCTGGCGGAGGGGCATTCCTGGCTGGACCCTCAGCCTCTCCTCCTCCCCAGCTGGGCACTCACCCTAAACACCCCCACCACAGGTCAGATGCATCATCTGCTGCTCCCTTGGTCACCCTCCTAAAGAGGCCAGACCCGAGGAAGGAGGGGTGGGGAGGACAGAGCCTGCACCCAGTGAGTGCATGGGTTCACATCCCCAGCACATGGCTCAGCGTCCTAAGAATCACCAGGCAGGTGGGGGTGGTGGGAGCAACAATGTACCCCTACTTAGTGACCAGAGCCAGCGGAGGGTCCCCAAAGGGAGCCAGCACAAGTATCCTGAGCAAACAGCCGAGGGACCTGGAAAGGATCAGCTGACAGTGAGGATGGGGAGGTGTTTCTGGCCTTGGTCACTTTGCTGGTCCTATTTTCAGAGGGTGCAGGGACATGAGGTCATGCGAAGTCTCATGTCTTCCCCGAAGGCACATGGCGAAGTCTAGCTTTCCCATGGCAGAGCACAGCAGGGTGCCAGAATGCCAACTCCCAAGGAGACCCAAGCTCCGTCCTCTGCCCTCCTGGGCTTCACCCACAGCACAGGGCCCTCCTCCTACAGACACCTGGCGAAGGAGCCATTCCCCAGCTCCTCCCGAGCAGGCCCCAGCTGTCCCCAGCTTCTAATGGGCCAGGCCCTGCCCTCCCCAGGGTGAGAGTGTTCTGCAAGGAACTTCTCCCTCTCTCCCACTATGAGCTGGGCCTCCCCGTTCCCTGCTCCAGGCCTGCAGGAACAAATCAGGGTGGGAGAGGCCCCTGGCCACAGCCAGCTATACCCTCAGAGTGGTGTTTGCATAGCAGCTCTTCTGCTCTGCACATAGCCTGGAGAAGGGGGTGTTGTAGGGTGAAGCCCCTAGGAAGTCTTGTCCTCTACATCAAGGCCTGGCTTTGCCCAAATCAGTGACCTATCTTATCCCTGGAAGAGATGCAGTGTGTGGCCCCTTCCCCCAACCCAGGACAGGACAAAGAAAATAGTGCCAGGCTCCTGGCTCCCATCCAGCCTGTCCGTGCCTTTCTCCCACCACCCCTTCTGCTATGAGGCAGGGCTCCTGCCAGCCTAGACCACATGACCTTAGAGTGTGACTGGCCAGTCTAGAGTCACCCAGACACCTGCAGCACCTACAAAGCCAGTTGGCACCTTACTACTACTCCTGCCCATCCTGGCCCGGGTTTCACCTGAAGCAGGAACTATGTATGGATGCCAGGTGGTGGTTTGGGAGAGCATCTCCCACTGAGGCCTGCGGCTGTCCAGGGCTGGCGCCTGGTGTGTTCAATGCTTGCTAGTATTAGTGATGGGAGGGACAGTGACTCAAAGGCTCACACTAGCCTGGCAGGTGTGGTGCAGTCACCTCCAAGCAGACACTGCTCCAGGGCAGTGGAGAGGCTGCTAGGGATGCAGAGCCACATCTCTCCTTCCCGGGTCCCAGCATGAGCCTTGGCCTTGGAGCTGCCCCAAAAGGAATCTCCATGGGCAAGGCTGTGTGGACTCAGTTCTTAAGGAAAAGTGACCACCCCCTCTGCTGGGCTCCAGGAAGTTGTGAGCAGGCTGAGGGCAGATTGCTCCTCTGAGAGCTCCTGGTATGTTTCAGAGAAACCAAAGAGAAGCTGGTCCTGCCCCCAGCGGACCTGGAAGGGGCAGCAGCTGTCCAGGCGGCAGCCAGCAGCCCAAGATGGAGAGGCAGAGCCGCGTCCACGGGGCCTCTGGGCTGTGTGTGAAGGGCACAGCCAGCAGCACCGCCCCTGCTGGGCCAAAAGCTCCATCGCCACGGAGGGAGGAGCCTTCCCTAAATGGCATGTGTCCCTGCCTTCCGGCCACTTCCCCCTGCCTGTGTCTGAGTCACAGGCCCCCTTACTGACTCAGCCACTCCCCTGTGGACCCCCAGAGTGGTACAGGAGGTCCCCTGTGCTCTCTCAGACCCTGTTCAGGTTCCTTCCCACCCTAGCTCTCTGCCTGGTTCCCAAGCACATTCCAGGCCATTGTCTCATGACGAATAGCGTTTTCATGCGGGTGTTGGAAAATATGGGCACATGTTTAATGCTTGCAAGCTGTGTTCCACTGTTGATGCTGTGCTTGGGAGCCAGGCAGGCAGCTCAAGCTGGGCTGGGGCTCAGCAGAGAATCGATGACGCAGCAACCCTGCGAGGCAGCCATCTGTCAGGCCTCCGCCGGGCAGGGACAGCCCCGGTACCCACTCAACAGGCACTGGGGAAGCAGAGTGGTGAGGAAGAACGCAGGTTCTGGAAGTCGATTCTTCTAGGTCTGAATCCTGTTCTTCCTCTGGTGAGCTGGGTCCTCTCTGAACCTCAGATTCCTCTTCTCTGCAATGGGAGTGATAACCCTGCCCAAGTTGTGTGAGGACTTGGCTTGACACTGAGGGTGAAGCTCAGAGCCCAGCGCCAGGCCTGTGGCAACTCTGGGGACTGTAGTGGAGAATCGTTTCTCCCTCTCCAGCTTCCTGACTCAAGGGCCCACTTGTCATACCCTCTGCCCTCAGTCTGGCCTCTAGTAAGGATCCCATGAGCTAGCCAACACTTCTGCTGTTAATACTGTCTTGTGGCTTTGCAGCCCAGCGATCTGGGTTTTCCTACTCTGCAGACCTAGGGTAATCTGGTGTCGAGGCAGGACGCAGCCCCACCTCCTTCCCAGCGGCAGGATGGGAGTCAGCCTCAGTGGAGGCCCCTGCGCTGCTGGGCCCCAGAGCAGCCTCTCCAGGCTCCGCCTCCTAGGGCAGGGGTGGCTGGGCCAGTGGCTGGAGCATGGGGGGCCTCAGTGCTGCTCTCTGTGGTGCCTGCTCCCACCTCTCCCCTCCCTTCCCCTCTTGTGGTGCTTTAATTAGAGACACTCAGAGGGAAACACCTCGTGAGGAAGCTTATGCTCTGGAGTCTCCTGGGATGAGTTGCTTCCCAGGGCTCTTCAGCCAGCAAGAGAGTGCAAGAGGAAGGTCTGGGCAGGGCAGCCCAGCCAGGCCAGGGCTTGGCCTGATGAGTGACAAGGGCAAAAATGTAACGTCAGGCCATTGCTTTCCACACACCAGTGTTTGCATGGCATGAAGAGACCTGCCTGGGCATAAGCGGAGAGGATGTGCTGGGTGGGGGTGGCTTTGTCCAGGGACCCTGGGTCCTTGAAGATGCGTGCCCTGAAAGAATTAGAACTTTCTCTTGGAAGGGGCTGGTAGGAGGGACATGCGTTCCTGACCGAGGCTTCACTGAGACTGGAGGTTGGAGCTGAGTCTCCGAGGTCTGGAAGGAGTCTGCCACGTGCTGATGCTGGCCGAGCCACCAGGCCAGGGAAGAGCAGGTAGCCCCTCTAGGGCCATGTGCACTTAGCAAGGTCAGGAACCGAAAAACCCAAGAGGCTAGAACACCAAGAGTGGAGGAGGGACAGCAAGAGGGAAGCTGGAGAGGACCCAGCAGGAGGTGTGAGACCCTGCAGGCCGAGGTGAGGGGCTGGGTGTGTTTCAGATCCAGGAGGAAGCCGTTAGCCAAGTCCCAGGAGGGAGGGAACGCTCCGGTCATCACATTTTAGGATTGTTCGGTTGGTGTGTGGAGGGTGGACTGTGGGGGCAGGAGAAGCAGTATAAGGCAGATCCTGAGACGCAGGGAGATGGACCAGGCAGGAGAGGCCGACGGCCCCCCAAGGCATGGGGCTGGGTGTTGGGGGCAGGGTATCCATGTAGGTTGTCCTCCCAGGGCAAGGCCCCCGTACCTGCCAGTGGACCCGACGGAGGGGCTGGGATGACTGTTGTTTAGGCCTGAGCAGCTGGTGGGCAGTGCCACCATTACTGAGGTGAGGAGGGGGTGGCAGGTCTGTGGGGACACCAAGGTTTGGTTGTGGCCCCATCGAGGTTTGAAACGGCTGTTAGGCAGCCAGGCAGGGCCTTCTACTAGGGAAGCAGCTGTTCCATCTTGAGCCCACTGGGGGCTCAGGGCCAGAGGGCACATTCAGGGGTCATTGATGGAAACCACAGACCACCAAGAGGCGCAAACTAGAGAGAGAAGAGCGGACAGGCCACCCAGTGCTGGGGGAGAGGTGGGAGGAAAACCAGGAGAAGGCACTGTCACTGGTAGCAAGAAAAGTTTCCAGAAAACTCCACTATCCCTGACCTTCTGTAACGGTCAGCATTCCCCGGCCTCTCTGAGACACCAGGAGGCCTGGGTGCCCACTGCTCCTCACCACTAGCCCCTTGTCCATCCCTCACTCTGCACCCACCTCAGCCTGCCCTCCGCTGCGGTGGGTCCTGCCTGCCGGCCTGCATCCCTGGAGAGTGCTGCCTGGCAGCAGCTCAGCTGTTGGCCCCTGTCATGGAGACGGCAGCAGCTGCTGGCGACGGGCACTTGTGACCATTTGTCAGAACGCCCCCCTTCCTCCCATGCCTGCCCTTCTGGAACATTTCTGTCCCACAGCTGTGGAGACAGGGCTCATGGAGGGGTCAGGGGACGGGGGACGGGAGAGAACAGGGGGGGGTCAGGAAACACTGTCTGGGCTCTTCAGCGGGGCCACCACCTCCTCACCTTCAGCGGAGCTGTGGCCCCACAATGGTGTCATGTGGCCAGATAGCTGTCCTCTGAGAACTTCCCCTATTTCACAGTTAGGTATTGCCCCTAATTAAGGTGGAGAAATTGTACGGAGACACTGAGGTCACACAGCTGGACACCAGGCTGAGGCCTTCACCTCCCACCTAACCCCAGGGAAGCCCTCAGCATGGCAGGGTCCTGGTGGCGTGTGCGGGGAGATTAAGCAGCCCTCACTGGTGCGGCCACCACCCCCGCCCTGCATGTCTTGTTTCCATTTCTCGTGGTTTCTTGCCCAGGCCTGCAGGCTCCAGCCAGCGTTAGACTGGAATGGCCAGCCTACTGTTTGCACATCGTGGTCTGGCGTCTTTGTTACCAAATGCTCTGGGGTTGCTTTGGGGCTGGGTCGGAATCTTCTAGCTGGCCCCAGAGCCGTGGCTCCCATTCAGAGGCGTTCAGGAGGCTAGGCCCAGGTCATGCAGAGCAGAGGATGAGTCCAGCGACCTGGGAGGAGGTGGATGTGTTTTGGGCCTGCCGCTGAGAAGCGGGGCTCATGTCATTGAGCACCCGAGACCGTGCAACCTCCGATGCCGTGTCAGACCTGTGGTGATGCTTCCCCGGAGATGGGACTCGGTGTCAGGCAGTGGAGCTCAGCCCCAGACAGGAGGTGGTGTAGGCAGGGGTGCCATCTGCTGCCAGCCCAGCAGTCAGGAAGGGCAGTGCTACACACCACCCTCCCACCAGCCACCCCACCTGGCCCCACCCTGCCTGCACTCTGCTGTTGTGGGGAAGCTCCCGAATCCCTGGGACTCCAACTGGGAAGCACTGCCCAGGTGCCCTTCCCCTGCCGGCCAGGCCTCCAAGGGGACGTGGAGAAGCAGTGCAGCTTCCTCCAAGCCTGTCCTCACCACCGACTTCTCATTGTTGGTGTTGTCTGCCCGGGGATCGTAGGGAAACCACTTCTCTTCATTCTCTGGGTTTCTTGTTTACTTTTTGCATAACGTGGAGGTTCCTCTTAACAAAGTCCAGTTCTTAGCCCTGCATGACTCTTACTAAACAAGAGACGGGAAAGGGATCATGGCCCAGGGCCAGCGAGCTAGGCTCTGGCACTAAGTGACCATGTGACCTGGGTCAGGTCACTTTACCAGAGTTTCACCATGTGTACAATGAAGAAAAAACTAAGGGTCCTAACGCTTATCACACAAGGATCTGTGCTCCAGGCAGCGGGGTACAGCCTGCACAGCACAAATCCCTGACCTGGGGCGCTTTCAGGAGGAGAAAGGGGAGCGGTAAACAGGTGACTGATGTGTGGAGAATTGGCTGGATGAAGATGCACTCTAGCAAGAGAAGAAAGGCCCGCAGGGGACAGGGGTGTCTGGGCCTGGGGTGGAGGGCATTGCGCATGCACATGGGAGCTTAGGAAGGTGACAGGGGTCCCAGGACTAATTAGCGTAGCTGGAGGCCCAGCTGTTTCTCTTCTGCGGGGTGATTACTATAGCATGGAGCACCCTGACATGTGTAGGCCCAATGCTGGGAGGCCTGGAGGTTGGCAAAGCCTCTCCTGCCTGGTCCATCTCCCTGCGTCTCAGGATCTGCCTTATACTGCTTCTCCTGCCCCCACAGTCCACCCTCCACACACCAACCGAACAATCCTAAAATGTGATGACCGGAGCGTTCCCTCCCTCCTGGGACTTGGCTAACGGCTTCCTCCTGGATCTGAAACACACCCAGCCCCTCACCTCGGCCTGCAGGGTCTCACACCTCCTGCTGGGTCCTCTCCAGCTTCCCTCTTGCTGTCCCTCCTCCACTCTTGGTGTTCTAGCCTCTTGGGTTTTTCGGTTCCTGACCTTGCTAAGTGCACATGGCCCTAGAGGGGCTACCTGCTCTTCCCTGGCCTGGTGGCTCGGCCAGCATCAGCACGTGGCAGACTCCTTCCAGACCTTGGAGACTCAGCTCCAACCTCCAGTCTCAGTGAAGCCTCGGTCAGGAACGCATGTCCCTCCTACCAGCCCCTTCCAAGAGAAAGTTCTAATTCCTTCAGGGCACGCATCTTCAAGGACCCAGGGTCCCTGGACAAAGCCACCCCCACCCAGCACATCCTCTCCCCTTATGCCCAGGCAGGTCTCTTCATGCCATGCAAACACTGGTGTGTGGAAAGCAATGGCCTGACGTTACATTTTTGCCCTTGTCACTCATCAGGCCAAGCCCTGGCCTGGCTGGGCTGCCCTGCCCAGACCTTCCTCTTGCACTCTCTTGCTGGCTGAAGAGCCCTGGGAAGCAACTCATCCCAGGAGACTCCAGAGCATAAGCTTCCTCACGAGGTGTTTCCCTCTGAGTGTCTCTAATTAAAGCACCACAAGAGGGGAAGGGAGGGGAGAGGTGGGAGCAGGCACCACAGAGAGCAGCACTGAGGCCCCCCATGCTCCAGCCACTGGCCCAGCCACCCCTGCCCTAGGAGGCGGAGCCTGGAGAGGCTGCTCTGGGGCCCAGCAGCGCAGGGGCCTCCACTGAGGCTGACTCCCATCCTGCCGCTGGGAAGGAGGTGGGGCTGCGTCCTGCCTCGACACCAGATTACCCTAGGTCTGCAGAGTAGGAAAACCCAGATCGCTGGGCTGCAAAGCCCCAAGACAGTATTAACAGCAGAAGTGTTGGCTAGCTCATGGGATCCTTACTAGAGGCCCCCGCACCCACAGGCCTCAGAGTCGTGCCCCCACACCAGCCTTAGGAAGGAGCAGGTTTCCCCAGGACGCTGCAAAAACAAGAGGCCACCTCCCAGGCTGAAGTGCACTGGCTTCCAGGACGGCTGCGCAGTAACCCTGCCCCTGCTTTCCAGGCAGCTGTGCCTCCTGCTGAACGCAGAGAACATCTTCCACTCGATGGCAGACATCCTGCTGCGGGAGGAGGACCTCAAGTTCGCCTCAACCATGGTCCACGCCCTCAACACCATCCTGCTGACCTCCACAGAGCTCTTCCAGCTGCGGAACCAGCTAAAGGACCTGAAGACCCTGGTAGGCGGCATCAGCAGCTCTGACCTCTGGCGTGCTCCTGCATGCCTGGGAGTACACACTGGAGGCTCTCAGGGAGAAGAGGGGGTTGAAATTGGTACATCCCCTGGTCTAGTGGGAAATAGGGATCACGGGTGAGTGGCTGCATGCAACGCTAACCACAGGTGTATCACGTCACCCACACTGAGGTCTCTGCCCAAGGAAGGCTCCATGCTGTATCCAGGACACCCCAGTCCCACTCCAGGCACTGCCCCCTTGAAAACAGAAACTCTGCTGGCCATGGGCCCCAATGGGCAGGGCCACCCTCTCAGGGATAGGCCTCTGGGTTATAACCTTGCCAGAGAATCGGGTTAACTGTTCTTACCCTCCTTGGCCTACCTACCTCCTAAGGCATCTGTTGTAAGCCAGGGTGTCCAGTTGCTGCCCATCCATCCCAGGCTTTGGGTGAGGACACACCAATGACTGGTCAGCAAAAGCAGAGGGGACACTCACTCTCACTCCCCTAGGAACAAGGAGAGATGCAGGTCCCAGGCCTCTTGTGTCCTGGCAGAGGGTGGTGGCTGCAGAAGCCATGCAGGGACAGGCAGCGTCCTGGGGGTTTCATTTCCCCGGCCCCCTGCTGGCTCAGGCCCTGCCTGCACCCTCCTCAGGAACCTTGGGGATATCCAGGCCCATGACTGAGGGCATCTGGGGCCAAGTGGCTCCGATGATCCAGGCCACAGCCCTGCCTCCCTCCTGTGGTTCCTTCCAGACATTTGCAGAGTCCTTAAGAATTTTCCTCAGGGGCAGGGGCTCCCCCAAGTTTGGGCTTGGCTCCTGGGCAGTCTCCAAGTGTTTGAGGCGGCCTGCAGAGGTGGGGAGGAGATGGCATTTGAGGGTGCTTCCTTCCTTCCCTGCCCACTCCCCCATCACCCTCCCAGCCCCGTGAGACTCCAGGACCACAGAGTTCTAGTGGGGACAGTTACTGTGATTTTGTCAAGAGCAGACCTGCCAGCACAAAGGACAGCCACCACACGGCTCTGGGACCCAGAGGTAATGACAGGGTCTGTGGAGGAACTGTCAGCGTTTCCTTTGTGACGGCTCGTTCCCAGCAGAGCTGCTAAACAGCTGGGGTGCTGAGCTGGCTCCAGCCGCCTCCCCACCGAGGCCCCTGGGACTCAGACCTGTGACCCTTGCCTCAGGACCCCCATGGACCAGGAGGGGACAAGGATTAGGGGGTCCCTCACGGCTCATGCCTCTTCCCTCACAGGAGAGCCAGAACCTGTTCTGCTGCCTGTACCGCTCTTGGTGCCACAACCCAGTCACCACGGTGTCCCTCTGCTTCCTCACCCAGAACTACCGGCACGCCTATGACCTCATCCAGAAATTGTATCCTTCCTGTCCCTGCTGGGGTTGGGCCACTGAGGGGCAGGAAGGGGTCGGGTGCCCCGTTTCTACCCAACAGGTGGGCCCAAGTGCCATCTTCTCCCCCTGCCTCCACCCAGCCTCAGGGCTTGTGACTTCAGGGCTGCCTGGATGCTGGGAGGTGAGGGACGTATTTGGGAGAACGAGGTTGGTAACAAAGAGGGACTCCTGGAGGGGAGCTGGGCCGGGGGAAACCCTGTGGGTTGGGACTGGGTCTGAGTAGGCCCAGCCTGGCAGGTTCCAGCCGGTGATGCTGAGCCATCTTGCTGGGTTGAGAGAACCCCAGCTCCTACCCTGGGGAGAAGGTGGCTGCCTTCATTGTTCATTGTAGTTCTTCCTGGGCCAGGTGTGGGGTTGGGGGAGAAGGCCCGGAGCTGGGGATGTGGGTGGATGGCTGGAGCAGGCATTTGTGTGCCTGCAGGCTCCAGCCCAGGCGTGGGCTTCCAGAGGCCATAGAACTAGAGCCTAACAGGCTTAAGGATGACACGGTGGGGAGAAGCGGGCTGGGCGGAGGCCTCCAGAACGGGAGGCACCCATGCTCACCTCAGCACCACGCTCCTCAAAAGGCATCAGGGTTAGATGAGATGTTTTGTTCTGTTTTTGAGACAGTCTCTCGCTTTGTCACCCACTGGAGTACAGTGGGCTATCTCACCTCACTGCTGCAGCCTCCACCTCCTGGGTTCAAGCAATTTTCATGCCTCAGCATCCTGAGTAGCTGGGATTACAGGCATTTACCACCACAGCTAATTTTTGTATTTTTAGTAGAGACGGGGTCTCACCATATTGGCCAGGCTGGTCTCAAACTCCTGACCTCAAGAGATCTGCCCACCTCGGCCTCCCGAAGTTCTGGGATGGCAGATGTGAGCCACCACTCCTGGCCAGATTTTTTTTTAAATACTGAGAGGCAAATCAGCCTCATCCATGGGTGCCTGACATGCAACCCAGGATTGGAGTGCGATTTCAAAGGCAACATGACCAGCCAGGAGTTGGAACTAAGGAAGAAAGGGCCATGAGGTGCCTCCGTGGAGGGCGAGGTTTGGCCCTGCCTGGCTTCCTGCAGGGTGCCTGCTTCCCTTCTGCAACCTGGGTTTGCCCCTCTCAGCCACTGCTGTGACCCAAGGACTGGCGGGCCACTGCCCAGCGCCACAAACCCGCTGCAGCCCTAGTGAAGCCCTGCCGGCAGGAAAGGAGAGAGACCTTCCTGCCTGGCCCTCCCCCAACGGGCTGCAGCCCTATGATAAGAGCCTCCCCAAGCCTGGAGGGTGTGGAGGAGATAGCTGCTGGAGCGGAACCTGGAGCTCCCAAAAGTGGGGGTTCCATTTAGGACAGAAAGGCAGGAGCAGGGAAGAGACTGGTGTCCTTTGTGCACCAAATCCTGCTCCTGGGAAGCCAGGCATGGGTGGGGAGGGTGCGTGGTGCTCTGAGCTACGGCTGTACTGGCCTGGCAGTCAGACTTTCCTTGACTGCACACCCAGTGGGGACCTGGAGGTCACCGTGGACTTCCTCGCAGAGGTGGACAAGCTGGTGCAGCTGATCGAGTGCCCCATCTTCACATGTAAGAACAACCTCCCACCATATCTCATGCCATGAGCCCAGGGCCGGCCTGCAGTGGGGTGGCTGGAGCCAGTCTCCAGTTGGTCTCTCTTGGCTGGGGAGGAAGGAAGAGCAGTCATCCCAGGGAAGCTTCTGGAATGTGGAGAATCTGAGACTGGGGGCTGCAGTGTCACTCACGCCTATAATCCCAGCATGTTGGGAGGCTGAGACGAGCATCTCTTGAGGCCAGGAGTTCGAGACCAGCCTTGGCATCGCAGTGAGCTCTCATCTCCACAAAAAAAATTTTAATTAGCCAGGCTTGATAGTGCATGCCTATAGTCACCGCTACTCAGAAGGCTGAGGTGGGAGAGTCACTTGTGCCCAGGAGGTAGAAACTGCAGTGACCTATGACTGCACCACTGCACTCCAACCTGGGTGATAGAGCAAGACCGTGTCTCAAAAAAAAAAAAAAAGACTAGATGACAGGACTGTGAGCCCAGGCGGAACAGGGCAGGGGCACATGGCATCAGAACCCAGGTCCTGCCTGTGTCCCTCAAGGTAGGTCTCGTGGGTGTGGGCCAGCGCTGACAGCAGAACCCCCCCCTTGAAGGCTGCCCCTGAGCTGTCCCAAGCCACCCCTCCGAGCCTGCTGCATGTGCCCTGGCTCTCTGAAGTTGTGGGTCACCCTGGGCCCCTCCGCAGGTGCCTGTTTGCCCAAGAGCCATGCCAGCACCTCTCTGAAAGAAGAGTTGGCATTTGCTGGGAGCCAGTGGGCAGGAGCTGCCTGCTTAGTAACACCCAGGCTGAATGTGCAAAAGTGGCAGCTGGCTGGGGCAAGCACAGCTCTTGGCGCCTCAACATACACATTTTGAATGACACTTGTGTGTTTATAATGTGCAGAGAAGCCAGGAGGCCACCCTGCTGGTGGCCACTTTCCCTGCCAAGCTGGCCACCCAGGCCTCTGGCACTCTCTGGCAGTGTCTCTGACCCGCCTGGCCTAAGCCCATCAGCCTGAGCCCTGGAGCCCGTACTGACCCCCCTTCAAAGAGCAGCTTGGCCAGGAAGCAGGGTGCTGTGGGGACTGATGCCCTGGAGACAGAGGGCAGGAGGGAGACTCCGCTCTCAGCAGAGTGCACGAAAGCCTGTCCCAGGTATGCCCAGCCTGACATTTCACTTCCCCCAGGGCCTCCCAGGGACACAGGCACCCATGCAGCCACCTGAGGTCAGGTCCTAAGAAGACCCTGCTCCCGCTGCTGGTCTGTCCTGATTCATCTCCAGTTACACATTCTTGGCATTCCAGAAGCATCCCTGAAATGACTGCCCTCCCTAGGAACTCCAACCACCTTCCTCAAGCCCAGGGCTTTGCTGGGGCAGGGTGACAGGAGAGGCCCACCCTGGTGTCACCCACCACCGTCCCAGCCCTGAGTTGCCTGGATCCTAGAGGTGGCTGGTTTGGCTGTAGGCAATGCCCATTCCCCAAGGCCCAAAGGGAAGAAAGGACTGGAAACAGGCTCACACTTCTGCAGGGGCAGCCAGGCCTGGGGAGAAACCCCCCCCCCCCCCCCCCCGGCTCCAAGAGTCCTCCATTCCTCGGCTCCCTGAGTCAGCGGGACTCCCTGTGTGGCCGCTGCAGGGGCGACATAGCCCCTCTCCCAAAGCATGTGACACATCTTCCACAAACAATGCTTAGACTGGGCCTAGGGACACAAGAAGGTAGAAGCTAGTGATTCTCCCAGCTCATGGGAGAGAAGAAGTGAGAGCCCCTTATCAATCCTCCCCTTTGGGCCCTGGGGAAGCCGGGACTGTCTTGTGGTGCAGCCAGCCACCAGCGGGGTCCATGCAGCAGCATGGGCTGGAGTGTGCTGAGCAGTCCCCTGGCTGCGTCTCTTTCCCCCTGGCAGGGTGGTGCTAAGGTTGGCATGTGAGCTAGAGCCCCAGAAGCACCTCCCAGACACTCCGGGGCTTTGCTGTGTCTCTCACTACACACAAAAGTGTTTTTCCATCCTGCCCTCCCTTAAAGCTGTCCTAATCCACCGTCTTTCTCTCCAGCACACCCTATTTATAGCTCTCCCGTGCTGGCACGTGCAGAGCCGACTGGAGAATCTGTTACACTACGCCCCGAGCCCTCGTATCACCAGGGAGGCAGCTGAGCAGGGGGCGGGGCGGGAACAGACCAGGCCCCACAGTGTGTCTAGGGGTTGTCGGGCTGAGGTGATTGTTGGAAAGATCAGACAGGCAGGTGGAAAGGAAGATGAGATCATGGAATAGCTGGGACACTCCTGGTGGAGGTGGGGGCAGTGCAACTGACTGTGAAGGAATGCCCCCCTGCCAGAGGCTGTGGCCACCTGGCTGGGCCTACACAGCTGGGTCCCTGGGCTGTGGGTACCATGGTCCCAGTGGCCCTGGCCAGGCGGAGCCAGGGAGTATAGGCTAAGCATTGTTCCAAAGCAGTGCCAGGTCGCTGACCCCTGCCCTCTGCCCACCCCAGATCTGCGCCTGCAGCTGCTGGACGTGAAGAACAACCCCTACCTGATCAAGGCCCTCTACGGCCTGCTCATGCTCCTG